GTGACACCCTCAGTTATACTGCAAGATATGTTGGGCCAAGAGACAGCTGAATAAACAGCTGTCTCTTGGCCTAATATATCTTGCAGTGTAACTGTGGGAATAAATCCCAGTTCCCACTGGGATTAGGTGGAGAACATCTAGCACAGAGTATTTGACTTCCTAGCAAACTGCAGACCTAAAAATTAAGCACCGGTTTGCCATGCTCCCTTAGTCCAAGACAGTACTAGAAAGCATTTGTTGCACTGAACCTGTACACCTGAACATGCACCTGAACTGTGTTTACCTAGTACAAGTTTCCTAATTAAATAGCAGCAGAAAAAGATATTGGTTAGCACCTTTTAATACTGTATTGTTTTATTGTTTTGTGATTGTATGATTAGTATATTATTTATTGTTGTTTTAAATTTTGGGAAGCCGCCCTAAGCCGGCTATTGCTGGGAGGGAGGGTATAAGTTTAATAAATAAATAAATATGGACAGTAATCACACTAGTTAGTTAGATTTGTACCTAGCTGGAGCAGGCTCAGGATGGCTTACATAAAACTGCAACTAGTAAATAACAGATAAAAACATCAATATAAATATCCTCACAAAACACAACATAATTACTAAAACCAGTTTATAGAATGATGGCAGTGCACAGTAGCAGTAAACATTTAGATTACAGTCAGCAAATGAGTTTTTTCTGCCATCAGACTCAGGCTGGATGGTGGTATGGGGCACAGGGTCTTAGATTATTAGATGCCTGGTGGAAGAGCTCCGTTTTACAGGCCCTGTGGAACTGTAAGAGGTTCCGCAGGGGCCTGATCTCGTCCGGTCACTAAAATGATCATATTTATTCAAGCCCTCCATTTAGAAAAGTTTACCAGTACTTTAAAAAAAGATTGTGTAACTGTGCAAAACATAAATGCACCTTCAAGTTATACAACCATTTCTTTGGACACATCTCATACCAGGAGACCCAATTGACCAACTCAGTTTGAATTTACTCACAGCAATAAGCTGTTGCCATAAATGCTGAGTACCTTTTCTCAAACAGTCACTGATAGGGTACTGATGATGGCAACATATTAAATTATAAGGGAGACTAGCAATAAAGCCCGTTGTGAAAGCAATACAATGAGATCTAGAAAGATGTGATTTGTAACGATTGCATAGGCTGGAAGGAGGTAAAGTACCTCCTGGAGATTTGGGGGGTGGATTCTGTAGAGGGCAGCATTGGGCGGGGGGGCGGAAGGACTCAGCAGGTATAATGTCATAGGGTCTACCCTCCAAAGCAGCCATTTTCTTCAGGGGAACTGATCTCTGTCATCTGGAGATCAATTGTAACAGCGGGAGATCTCCAGGTCCCATCTGGAGATTGGCAACCCTAGGGGAAAGTCAGCTGCACAGCAGGGGGTTGAAGAGAATGGTTTGATGGCTGCTGGGCCAAGATTGGCAACAATAGTTCCCCAGGAGCAAATGGCTGGTTTGGAGGGTGGAGTCTATGGCGCTTTAACTGTCTGAGGTCCACCTCTCCGGGCTCCACCCCTCAAATCTCCAGGAATTTCCATACCTTAAGCTGGCAACTTTATCTCCTCCCCTCTCAGCAGCCTCTTTCTAGGCAAAATTCTGTCTTTCTCATTAGCGGGGAGCAAAGCAGCTTACTTCATTCTCTTTGGCTTTGCAATCTGTACAGCAACACTGTTAGGCAGAAAGTCTGTGGCTGGTCCGAACTCACCCAGTCAGCTTCCATAGGGATGCTCCGGCTGAACAGGAGCAAGCAGCCAGGGCTAGTGATGCCATGCCAGTCTGTAGGCATGAAGTCACCCTAAGAGTGCTTGCAGGCCTAGGGTTGCCATTGCCAACAAAGTCAAATTGATGCAAAGGAGGACAATTCCTAAAGATTTTCCAAAACACTATTCTGTCGATACATTGCAACACTTTGAATTAGCACCAGAGCTT